CACATAGAGTTTAAACACTGAGTGAATCCTCCTGTCTCTTCAACCAGTTACTCGGGAGACTTTTAAAACCACTCTGCTTTATATTTATATGCCATATGGCCTCTGAATGTTTGGTTTCAGACCCTTAAAAGGCTTAAAATTACATACAGGCTTTTGACCAACAATGAAAGCCTATCTGAACGATGATTTATTGGGGTGAATTCCAGAGCATTGCACTGAGGCCTCTGGCTGGTGGCGTTCCTGGTTAATGTAGGTCAAAACAGTGACGGAGGGGTGTCCTCCTTTGAACCCGTAGTGTTAATCTTCATTGCGGGCCTGCAGATGGCGCGCACAGCCAGAGGAGTGCTGCTCTTTTCCTTACACACACACACACACACACACACACACACACACACACACACACCTGTCCTTGTCTAGACAGGGGGTGTGGGGGTGTTGGGGGGGATCCCACATGACCCATAGCTGTTTCTTTTTTCTCTCTCTCCCCTCTAAACAAAATATATATCCACTAATGGTAGCAAAAAATAATAATAACAGCAAGAAAAAAGGAAATGGCTCTCTCAAATCTGATTGGCCGGCTGAACCGACACCATGTCTCCCCCCCCCACCTCCCCGCTCGCAAGCTCGAGGTCAGCTCGGGACGTTAAAAAATAAATAAATGAGAAAATAGAAATGCGTAGAAGGGAGAAGCCCCGGTGTACACCCAGCCGTGCTCGGCGTCGGGGGGCGTGATTAACGGCGAAGCTGGCCAATGGAGGCCGCGCGCGCAGCTGGCTCCACTGACTGACACGGCCGGCAGCCAATGGGAAGTTCGGACATATGAGCCGACCGAGAACTGAYAATTCCCCTTGTCCTTTTTTGATCCAAAGAAACCGGGTGGGGAGGGTTGGCTTTTTTTTTTTTTCTTTTTTGTAGGAGTTCATTCACATTTGGGAACGCTTGCGTTTTGTACAGTAACTCTAAACCATGACAAATATATACATAATTTAGATAAAAAATAAAGAGGTATCGGAGTCCGTTCGACCCCGGAACAGAAACTGCCCTGAAGGACGCTGACTCGAGGTACAGTCGGTATGTACGGCGTACATAACCAACTACTATCACTACTACTACTACAACTCCCACCACTTCCCATCATGGAGACTCGTTCATGGCCCCCACCGTGACTCTCTCTCTCTCTCTCTCTCTCTCTCTCTCTCTCTCCCTCTTCGTTCTCGAGCCCCCACGCGATTGGGGGGTCGCTTGTGTTTGACGGCTCTCTGCTCCAACCCCACGACAGTGCACGGCTCTTCCAATCGCAGCTGTAAGTGAAAAGGCGTGCCCGAGCCCCTTCCTCCTCCTCCTCCTCCTCCTCCTCCTCCAAAGTACTCGATGTATAGTTGAAAATGGGAGGGCGCACTTGAACCGAGCTGCTCTGTAATGAAGGTAGGCTGCAGCGTGTGTTTATTGATGACATGAAAAAGAAGATGGAAGTGAGAAATGAAACAAAGTGAAAAGAGGACACGCTGAGAGAAAGAGAGAGAGAAAGAGAGAGAGAGAGAGAGAGAGACTAAAGCTCGCTGCTCTTCGACGTAGAGGTGTGTGGTGGGGGCCGAGAATAAAAAAAAAACGGGGAAGGGGGAATAGGAGAAAGAAAGAAACAGAGAGAGAGACGAGGAAAAAAAGACGACTGCTGCTACTTTTTTGAGCGAGCTTCGAAGTGCAGGTAAGAGACTGTGCTTGAAGAAGAAAGTAGGACGAAGGGGACGGGTCTTTATGTTTTGGGGGTATTATTTTAGAGGTGTTGAAGTGGGGGGGGG